CMMYCCCCMMCCCCCCCTCAAAAGTTAAATGGAAYGTCCCTAAGATCAATATGTAAAAGAAAGCTATAATTCACATTTGTAATTACTCCAGACATGCTAATAGCATGTGTTATGCTTCAAAGAATGAAACATATTTGCATAATATGTGTATTGTTCTTGTATTATCAACGCTAACTTAAAGTAGCAGAAGTTTAATCTGTCTTTACATGATGCCAAAATTCAAATTGTTTGTTGGGAATTCACACCCAGGTTTGGGTAAATTGATAAAAGAAAGATTAGGWTACGAAGGAGGCAAGTGCAAGCTGAAGAAGTTTACCAACCATGAGTGCTGGTGAGARGGCCAATATTTTTCATGGTATAATTTTTCTCACATTTTGAATCTTGTTCAAACCATTCTGTGATTTTGAATTGTGTACAATAACAAAAGTTGAAGAAAATACCTATAGTTTTCTGTTATGTTACTTACATAATATGATTTCATTTGGAATGATTGCTGTCAAATGTTTCAGTTGATAATGAAAATAGTTTTTCATGTTAGGAATTATTTATCTTTGTAACCATATGTACATTAGTTATTGACTAGTTATCTTTTGTATTAGTTACTTTATTTTGATGTGGAGATTGGATGATTTGTTTGTCTAATTGCTGCAACTGAAATTGGATTTTTCTGGAGAAATATAACTTGATGTACTAGTATTATGGCTCATGATTAATTTTATCCTTGTAATAATGTAATCTTGTTTTATTATATTGGTAAACTTCCTTGGCACTCTAAAGCAAGTTATAGCAATATAGTATTTTTAGCTAATAATGCTCAATTCTGCCTTCTTTTATTTCATTTTTATATTTTTATTTATAGTGTTGAGATAGCAGAGTCTGTGAGAGGGGAAGATGTTTACATTATTCAAAGTGGTTGTGGAGATATCAATGACAATTTGATGGAGTTGCTTATCATGATTAATGCATGTAAAATTGCATCAGCCCAAAGAGTGACGGCTGTCATCCCATGTTTYCCATATGCAAGACAAGACAAAAAAGACAAGGTACAAAAGATACAAAAACATATGCAGTACATTGTATTATAGCAGGTTATTATGAAAAGTGATTTTATTTGACAGAAATTCATTTGTTTGTTTTTCTTTTGTCTTGGTTTAGAGCCGTGCACCAATTTCTGCCAAACTTGTTGCAAACATGCTATCTGTATCAGGAGCAGATCACATTATAACCATGGACCTCCATGCATCTCAAATCCAGGTAATATTTTAACAGTATCAAGGATACTTATGATTCAGTTATTCATAATATTAGTAAATGTGAAATGATGTTTTTGGTGCTATTTCCCAGTCAACAMTTGAGATATTGATCTAGTGTGTTTTTCTAGGGTTTCTTTGATATACCAGTTGAYAATCTTTATGCTGAGCCTGCAGTACTCAAATGGATCAAAGAAAATGTTAGTGATTGGCAAGACGCTGTGATTGTTTCTCCTGACGCAGGAGGTGCAAAGAGGTATGCTAATTCTTCACAGCCATTTTTTTTTTGTTTGTTTATTAGTGTCATGTCACTCTTTAAAGCATTAAAATGCTTTTGTGAGTCAGAAATGCTTTTTCACAACTGTTGCTAAACCCTATTGTCAGTAGACTTGCAAAGGCTGATACATGGCATCTGTTCTATTTGGTGAGATTTTAGAAGAAAAGGGCAGATTATTTYATGGAATTTTTATTGATCTTTTTGATACACTGTGTACTTACACAATGTACATTGTTTTTCTCGCTTTTAAGCTATCATATCTTTAATTTATGCAGAGTAACATCCATTGCTGATCATCTGAATTGTGGATTTGCTTTAATTCACAAAGAGGTATGTATTCATTGATTTAAACACTGCCAATAATAGAATAATAACAAAAACTATATAATGACTCATGAATCCTGGTTTTATGAACCAAAATACATTAAAAAAATAAACAAAAAATATTATGAGTTTAGCCTGCAAAACTAAACCTATTACACTCTATATTTTGGATTAATTTTTGTTCAYTTATTTGTGATTTACCYTGCGAGCAGAGTGTATTTCCTTACCTCAATAAAAATTCGCGAAGGAAAATTGARGTAAGGAAATACACTCTGCTCGCAGGGTATTTGTGATTATGCAAAATTTGTGTTTTTTGTTTGTCTGTTTGTTTTGAAAGAAATTAACTGGGTAACCCCTTCTAATACATGTAATATTGTTTTTTAAAAATTGTTTGATTTTCCTTAAAGCGCAAAGTAGCCAACGAAGTGGCTAGTATGGTTTTRGTTGGTGATGTTTCTGGAAGAACTGCTGTTCTTGTTGATGACATGGCTGACACTTGTGGAACGCTGACACTTGCTGCATCTAAGTGAGTTCTGTTAGATATAGTGATTCATTTGAGTCTGATTGTCTAGTCTCATAAAACCAAATTAGCTTTCCAACTGTTCTTACAAAATAACATTTCTAAACTTAATGGATTCAGTTCGTTTTGCAAAACAAAATCCAGCTGATTCGTGRATAAATTCGACAAAATAAATTATGTTTTGCACTAAATTGCTTAAAAAACCTAAGATTTATGTCATTTCTTAAAAAAACAAGGACATAGATAATCGGAACTTCAGCTTCTCTGGGGGTTGCACGTACACCCAGTAAACCCCTGGTTACGGGCCTGACTTTGAATATTTCTCTTTGTTTCACGCGGTAATGAAAAACAAGTCTTTAGGATATTAATACTAATTGGGAAGGTTACATAAAAGCGTGAAACAAAATTTAACTTGTTTACTAAAATGTGATAGTCAAATAAACGGGAAAACTCCTTTTTAACTGCAGTACATTTTGCAGTCTTGTATTAATTTCATTCATTCATTCATTCACACCATTTCATTCACTTCGTCATTTTTTGTAGGCTGCAAGAAGCGGGAGCATCACGGGTTGTWGCGATCTGCACGCATGGAATTTTCTCAGGACCTGCATTAAAACGACTCGAAGCAAGTGCAATTGAGATGGTAGCTGTCACTAATTCGATTCCACAAAGAGAGAAGATGGAGGATTGCAGTAAGATCAAGGTAACAATATGGTCTATTAGTTTTTGAAACTCACGTTCATTAATATTCTCTCTATTTTTTTTTTATTTTTTTTTGTCAAAAGCCTATTGAATAGACTTTCATTAGATTATAATGGACACCTCCTCAAGTCAAGTGTCCGCAATAGCGAGTGTCCATTCTCTGTAACCTCTTTGACCGTTATACAGTCAACTCTCGCTATTACGGACACCCTCGGGACTGTAATTTAGTGTCCGCAGTASTGAGAGTCCRTAATGACGGGAGTTACTTTCGGGCATTTCTTTGTATTTTTCGCCGGGGATTCAGTATTTCCTGTCCGTAATATCGAGGTGTCCGTTATAGCGGGGTGTCCGTAAGGCGAGAGATGACTGTACATGCTAAGCTAGAATTGACCGGCTTTTACAACAGTAATCATTCATATTTCAGTTAATTGATGTTTCAATGATYCTCGCTGAAGCAATACGAAGAACACACAATGGAGAGTCTGTCTCGTACCTCTTCACACACGTCCCTCTTTGAGGACACCRAGATGCTTTCAAAGACCAACAACAACATTGATTTAATACGAACTTATAGTAACGAGCTTTAATCGTGGACTGATCAACGATGTGAAGAGCGATACTAGTCCAGAACTGGACCCAATTTTTTCAATAATTGTACAATATAAAACGAATAACGCACGCGCGCAGATCAAAGAAATAGTAGCGYGCGGATAGTGCAGGAAAATCTTTAGCGCGCGCTTTGGATTTTTAACTTTAACATATAATATTATRGTAATTGAGAAAAGAGGGTCCAGTTCTGGACTAGAGCAAACGCAGGAAAACCATGAAATAAAATCAAAGTAAATACTAACAAACAGCGGCTATTTAGAGACAATTTGTCAGTATCAATGAACCAGAACACAATGAAGATGAATACACATGAGACCATTTTCCATTCATCTTTTTTTGCGTTCTAGTTCATTGATACTGACAAATTGTCTCTAAATAGCTGCTGTTTGTTAGTGTTTAGTTTGATTTTATTTCATGGTTTTCCTGCGTTTGCTCTAAGAGTGATACAAGGTGTCAATGATACGATTTTTTCTCTCTCTTTCTATGTTTGAAAAAAAAAAACGGAATTTTGCTCTTTTCCTAAATCAGCTCCATCATATTGAAATTGTATTTGTATAAATAAGTTATTAGATTTATTATATAAAAACGGATTAAAAACTTCAATTTTTGTTGTCCAACAGTAACAACAATTTCATGTATGTGGCGAGACTTTATCGACAAAAAAATGGCGGGAAATTCATTGCAAATTGTACGCTCGCGCGCGCGTTATACAACTTGTTTGGATGTTGGAGGTTCAATCAAGATGAGTTTTTCGAGAGCGCCCCAGATTTCTTGAGAATTGTTATTGTAAATCTGAAACCTCAGAAAGAAAATAAACTTTAACAAACAATAATTAATACTCATTCATCCAACTACCAATGAAAGGTGGAGCCAAGTATATCTTGGAATATAAGATAAATTTTGAGACTGCAATAAAATTACTGCGCTATTGATCCGTGAAACAAAACTTTTTTTTACACACACACTGGATTTTAATATCTTCAAAATGTCTTCGAGGGGGCCTGGGGAGAGAGAAATGGGAAAAACGAAGGTTGTCCCATTTTCTCTCGTCTTTGTTTTTTTCTCCCAGAGAGCATAGCTATCGATTCACATTTTCATATTTTTCATGCAAAATAATTGTCTTTATTCTTTATCACGACTTTGTGCTATTCATAATCGCAGGAAAGGGCTCGTGACGATCGGTTGTTTGTGTTTCTGAACAATTGATGTTCGATTTTATTCAAGGCAAACTTAAAAACCTCACATTCAAACAATTCGGAACAATTGTTGGACAGTTAGGTTCAAAGATACGGGATAAATARGCCTTCCCTTCACCAGAGTCAGTAGACTGGAGGACTGGTAGTCCTTCTCTACTATCTCTGCCTTCACATAGCCCGAGTGTACGCTTTGTGAACGTCTATAGACATTTTTTTTTTACTTTTATTGTTTTTATCATTTTGAATTATCAGTAATTTTACTTAATACGAATGGAAATCATCATGTAGTAACATACATATATATCAATAGTACTCTTACAATGATTATAATATGATATAATAATCGATCTAACACATCATTCCCCTGTGTTTTTCATTGGCCTTCAACATCCTTTCGCCTAGTTTGCTGCACAGATGAGCAAAGTGTTGGACGAKKGTTGATTGACATGTGGTAGACTCCAGCTTGTAGCARTCGATGAACGTCTGAATATCTTTGCACATGTTGCTRTCAGTTTTCATTCGATTGGTTAAGACATGCGCACATTTGATGTGTACCTTGGATGAACAGTCCGCAGAAGAAGACTCGGCACCTAAGGATTATGGGCATGGTTGAAATTTCAAAAAGGGGATAAATATCTAATTGAAATAATTGGTTATAAAATTAGGTTGCTTAACGACGCAATAGGAACACAAAAAACTCTTMAGAGTAACAAATGGTCAGAATTAAATTTCAAAAAGRGRATAAATATCTAATTGAAATAATTGGTTATAAAATTAGGTTGCTTAACGACGCAATAGGAACACAAAAAACTCTTMAGAGTAACAAATGGTCAGAATTAAATTTCAAAAAGGGGATAAATATCTAATTGAAATAATTGGATGTCAAAGTAGTTGACTTAACGAATACGAAGACAAAAACACACTTAAGAGAAACAAATGGTCAGACTTAACCGATTAAATGAGATGTGGGATTATGTAAAGCCGCCTGAATAGAGAGAGGGTGGTCCAAAAACGTAGTGTTGTACTCGATATCTGATTTGCGATGCAAACGCACTTACCAATGTCATCAATGAAGCGATGCTTTAAAATTATTGCTAGACGAGAAAAACACAGGTAATTCAGAATACACAATTTAGAATGCATGAAACATGCTCGAAATATTTCACGGACATCATYTTCAGTGTCGAAGACTTCTGGTTTTGTTACCTTTCACTTTGTTAACGAGACTGCCATAAGAATGATTGGGRCAGTAGTGAGTCTTTCGGTCCATCATGCCATGCTGGAGAATCACATAACTGTAATTATCAATAAATGTTCCTCGACAGTTTGTTTCTTCCAAGCAGTCCATAAACGCCTGAGGAAGTGAAATATATWWTAATTTACAACTATAGTAATCAATAAACTGTTTTTTTWAAACATGGTTGTCAGAGACCAGAACGAAACCACGACCAAAAGTCGCTGCGGTATGGATTATAGATGATACTATTCTTTCACACGAGAGACCCCTCGATAAAATATACGGTCATTTCCATCAAAGGAAGATTTTCGATAATGGCTTAGTGTTGTTTGGACTGTAAGCCGTGTAAGTGAGTATTTATTTGTAAGTGAGTATCCATCAAAATTGTGGAAACTGGCTGTAAACTAGTGTGAGCTGCGTCGGTGTTTCTAAGAAACAGTTGTGCAAAAGGATAAATTTTAACACCGTAAAAAAGTAGGTGAAACAATTTACTGACGTGAAGACCTTTACTCCGGCTWCTTATTAAGGATGAACGTCCGAAACGTCAGTAAGTTACGTTGTTTCACCTACTTTTTTACGGTATTCAAATTCATGTTTTTGCACAACTTTTCCATCAAAAACTGAATAAYATGCAAATTAACTTTCGGTCTTGAAAAATGACAACTTTTTTTGAAAGGTATATATAGTTTCAAACATGATTTGCTAGTGTACAGAGGACTAAGCGGAGTAAAAGAATCTTGACCTATCTTAAAGGTTCTGTATAATAACGATGAAAAATAACGAAAAACAATATTTCTAATAGTGATAGTTATTTTTGCACTATTTCACATCGTTAACAATCCGGATGGAGCTTATCAGCTTCGGCTTGACCGGATATATAAAACTGAAAAAACGATAAAAACACATTTTATTCACATAAAATTCATCTCATTATTAAACCATTAAAAGAAGGTCTAATATTTGTTAGTGTTTACCTGGATACCCTTGCAGTAGAGCTCTTTATCACTAGACGCAGCTCGAAGATTCACGCCATGAAACATGCTTTTAAACTTTTGGTTACACTTCTTGATTGTCTTGAACTGGCAGTCGGCCGGGTCAAGCTGTGGAATAACCAGATTGTACCCGGGTAATCGGGGCTCAATCTTATTCGTGCCTCCATCATCTTCATTTATGAAGTCTTCGTAATCAATATCTTGGTATAGCTCAGATGTGGCAATGGCGATGTTCACAAGCATTAGAAGGATTATTTTTAGCTCCATWTTWACTGAAAGCAACAAGGATTGACACCTTTAATCAGCTAGGTGTTTTTTTATTATTTTAATTAATAAGGAACATGTTTTTGAAGTAAATAACCAAGTTTCCGTGGTAATGTGCGTTGATTGAATTGGGGCGAAGTTTCATCARTGTCAAGAATCTTACCATCCTGTATTTATAGCATAGCATATTACCCTACTAGTCTAAATATCCTACAAACATGTTGAACACGATTTTTTCAATATTATATAGAGTTCATTATTTGTATCCATAACGGTTTGCTAACGGAACGGTACAAAAGTARCATACTATGCAAGGACTTCTTCATCTATTTCACGTATATGTCATGCCCTCTAAAAGCTAMATTGAAACACCATTATTTATATCACAACTTCGTTTCTGTATTGTCGGTGGTTTTTTACCTTATTGCTGCAAGCCTCTCTTGACGGGATGCACTAGTAGTAGCTGTTGATTATATGGAGGATGATTCTGCGGAAAAAGAAGTGARCACAAAGGTGACAAGAAGTGAAAGGCGCGTAAAACARCGAATGCAGTTYTATTTATATTRACGGGTATTTCCATATAAGGTACGTATCCCATGATTGCCCCATATCGTGATTCTAAGTACTAGGTACACTCCATTAATGCTCTTATATCCATCTGTACGGTGATTATACTAGGCTTATGAGAGCAATTTGGCACGCAATGTCTGAACGAAAGTACAATTTCGAGTTTATGAGAACTCCTGGAATCGACTAAGTATGGCCATTGATATTTTTACAAAAAGGGAAACTGCAGAAAAATACAATGATAAAAATATTCACAGATGTTTTTTGACAGAAGTATGAAGTGTAAAGAACAATGGCAGAAAAATTGAGTTGATATTGAGTTGAGATGTTCCTTCAAATATCTTTTCCTTTCAATGTCGAGAGTTCTAAGAGAACAGGATGCTAGTCATTGTCCACTGAATGGCTATCTTCATATCAGTGTATCGTCCAGTTAGATATATGAACTATATATACTCGCAAGATTGTCACAGAGCTAGTAATGCAAACTAGAAGACCTCTTAATGTTTGTTGGGAGTAGGAACTCTAAGCAGTGTACTGAGAGACAGTAACACTGTTACACGTACATTCACCCTATCCCATCAATCCATTCGGTCTCAGCCTAGCTCCAAGCAATGCAACCACGCCTTTTCCCGTATTCTGTGTCATGCACTTTATAAATTGTCTCAATTCATACGTTCATTTGAGGGGGGAATCCAATCCACTATTATTATAATCACATTAGTTCTATTTGGTAATACTGAGTACATATACATTAACAAGTATCGCGGGTCATTTCAGGTTTGCATGACTTATGACAATTGAACTACAATTCTATCAAAGATGTTCAAAGATATTTTCGTCAGGATCATGAAACGGTATTGCAAAGAGTATATTACACGTTCTTCCTGCTTGAGGTACAATAGAGACACTTATAGTAGCAAGCTGATTAAGCTATTGAAGTTTTAACAAATGTCAGAAAAAAAAAACACTTGAGTGACTATGGCTCGACAGATTTGAAGCTTATTTCCTCGTATTGATGCCCTAATGAATGGTTCGGTAAAACAGTATACTGCCTATTGAACCATACGGGCGTATCTTCCTATGACATGCATAGATGCAAAAACTGCCGCGAATTCAATATGTACTCCGGAGAAAGCAATTATGGCGGCCATCTTGAATTTAAGTTGTCCGAGATTGTCCTGGGGACCAGTCACATTTGAGCGACACAGTGAGTCAACTGACAGAAACGAGTCTGCGAATGTCTGATATTTAATCATGCCAAATGTATTCATGTCYATATGCATATTTGTTTATGATTTATAGGGCAGTATTCAGCTTATAAAAAGTTCAATTTATCTTCTTCATTTTTTCCGTGATTGTAGTTACCTGTGCAGGTGGATTTTAACATGTGCATGGGATTACATGAATAAAACACAAGATACTCAGAGCTTACTCCCTAATTCTTTTTTGTTTATAAAAACATAGTTATGATAAGCTTATATGAATAGTTCCTCATCGAATAGATTGAGCTAAGTGCGAAAGACAAGAGACTTATTAGCGCCGAACTTGTACTTTCTACTAAAAAAAATACGAAATGCAACGTCGAGTGGAATATAAGACATTTATTCGACTTACTGTTCGTTTTCTCTTTTGTTTCTCCGACAAGGCTATCACGAATAGACCACAATTTAATAGCCAATCAGAATGCCGGATTTATGACAGTCCATAGTCTAGTAGATACTGTTATACGTTTTCAAGCAAAGTGTRGTGTACAAATTAACCAGTTGATTTGATAAACATACAATATTATGAAGAGAATTTAACAACAATTGTCATCAAGCAAATACAAATTTAATTGCAAAAAAACAACAGATTTTTTAAACTCTGTTCGTAGTGTTGAAATTGTATTGTTCATTGAAAGCGTCAGTTACCTGCTTAGCTAATCCTTCTAAACCACATCAGATTTTTATCGTTTAAATCCATAATTGCTGTTTTTATTTGAAAATTATTACACGCAAAAATTGCACAAATCATATTCACGAATTATTCAGTAGTCAAGCAAGGSCTGTCAGTGGATACTCTTTACAAGCCAAAGTTCAACTTTTGTTTTCATGGAGACGGCTATTAGATCAACTTAGAACGAGTGACCAATACAAGTAGCGGCGTCCATTGTTTGCAACTACAAAGACACCTGAATTTAATTGTTACCAAAACAATATCTACTATCACAGGGACATGACTAAAACATTTATTGTACCAATAACTAATGGGCAATAACTTGAGATTTGACAACAMGGTACTAAATTTTCCATCGTTGATCGATGACGGAATAGCTCCCATCACGGCACTAAAAATTCATATCAATTGACTATTGTGACAGCCATCAGATGGGTCAATGAACACATTTGAATTTCTAATATTTGCTTGACACTGCATCCTGTAGTGATATTAGAAAAGAAGCCACCACACCAGCCAAGAAACTATGAATACGCTCCATAGACCAGTGATTTTATGCAAAATCGCCTTCCTAGTCGACTATCTGARTGATTAAATGGAGTTCGTGGCTGCCAAGTCGATCGTTTTGCACCTCTCTGCTAGCGTGATAATATTGGTTTTGGGAATTTGCGCCGAGGATTCGAGAAATACTACAATATCCCAYAAACAATCTCTCTGCGTTTTCCCAGAATTTCTTCAAACTAGCTGTTCTCCGTCGTCAAAAATCTGTGAATGGACTTTTGGTAAAAGGGTTTCATTGCCACTTGAAGAACTGTCTTCTCCGCAGTCTGCGTTTCGAGCAGTTAGAGGCACTACAAAATTGACATGGAAAGTATTGAACTCTACGATTTTTGCCAGCGTTTTACAAGAGTCACAGCCTMGTACAAAAACAGTGGTTCGTGAATATCATTGTTTAGAAAAATATTCTGAGGGTAATGATACGTTTATTATATCGAAGAAAGATCTATCGGCAGACCCTGGCCATGATATCAATAACAACTTCAATTGTATTCGATTTTTGTCGAGAAGTAGCTTAGTAATACAGTACAAACTAGGGTCATGGGTGCACAGTATTCAGAACGTTTCCTGTCTAGATAACAATACAGTTTTGCAAGCGCACCCTTTGATTTCAGATCGTTATTTCGGGATATTAGACTGCCCTCAGGATCTTCGGGGAGGTTTTGAGATATTGCACATATACGATGCCTCGAGGAAAAGACTATGCTACTATTCAAGGGGTGACTACGGCATTTTAGAATCCGATTGCCTCGAAAAAGATGGACTAATAATCGACTTTCGTAACACCCACAATTGTACAAACCCCGAACTAGGAAATAGCTATCCRCGAGAACTAAAGTTACAATGTCACAGTCGACCATGGATCGAAAGGAATATGACTTTTGTTATGGCATCACGACGCGCAAGGTGGTTGTATGAATACGAGAAGACGACTTTTCATTGTCTCATGTACAGGGCAAACCATAGTCAAGGCGAATTCGATATWTATTTAATAAATGAGCCAAAATGTGGACGATTTATGGACGATGGACATTTTGATAAGTCCGATGCTTTAGTTCTTCGTGTTCGTCGTAAAACGAGCGGCCGAGTTCAAAARTCTTCATTATTAACAGACAGGTGCAATTTCCCTGTTGAGATAGAAGGGTTGTGGCTGGAGGAGTCAAACCGCCGTTTAAAAACACTACAAATTAACCAAGRAACCATAAAATTTCAATCGGGAGACACTTATCAATGTAAAGAAAGGTTTATTTTCAAGAACAAATACTTAGGTTGCGATCGAGGAGAAGACCGCTGGCCACTACATGGCAGGATTGGATTTTACTACGACGATTACACGCTAATCAGTGAGTTTCAAAATGGCTGCCGTCCAAGAATTACACGACTCGGRTTGTCAGGARCAGTTGATAATCAMGYYCTAGTCTATAGACTTTCTCAGAGTGAGCCAATGGTTGACGATGGGAGATCTGCKCAGGATTACTATSATCAYGAAGTATTAAAGCGACTGTGTRCAATGAGTTACCTGTATATGCAAGAYCCYTACCCCTAYTGGGGTCGAAATATTGAAAAGATTATTCACAGACCAACACTGTCACCTCAACCMATCGAAAAGTGCTCTTTAGTGTTTAATAGCCGTCACAATCTTTTGTCCACAGTTGCGGTAACACATTCTTCGGAATGCAACGGGGTGTCGTCTAAAATTTATTTCGGCTGCCAAGAATCACGGGRTACACCCAAGAACATTAAGATTGTCTATAACACAAACTGCCTAAAGAAAKAMCTTAAATTCCAATGCATTGGAAGAGCTTGGAAATTCGGGCACTTYATTTTGCTACGTGACATTACCACTCAACGACTGAATTGCGTTTGGTTTGATAAGAAAAGTAAGTCAATCCTGAGGCTGGATTCTCCGCAGTGTTCTGAAGTTGATTTCGGTCAGCTACCTGGCCACGCAGACAAATYTTCAGAGAGATTTCAAATCAAGTACTTTGAAAGATGCCCRGATGTCCCTGATCCAACAGTACGTGCTAAAATTGCTGTAAGCAGTAGCAATGCGGAGCTGTTTCATAACATATGGATGATTGCCATAGCCATACTTATAAGTACTTTGGTAGCTCATTAGAACAGAAAGTGTAGCAGTCTATTTCGCGAATTTCGGGAAAAATCTTTTGCAAAAAAATAGTTTAAAAAAAAAACGTGATTGTGTTCCCACAACCTCCCCTCATTTTTTGCAAATGTTGTTTGTCRCCGAAAAATTGCGGCGAAATCGCAAGGGTTGAGCAATACTAAGGAACTTGTGTACACCTTGCAATGAGGAAATGGGTTACTAGGATGTTCCATTGCAGAAGATTCGTGTAGCATGATTGATAATTTTACATAGATCTTGATTGGTTTTTCTAGGTTTTATATTAAAAAGTTTAGTCCATAAATATAGTTAGGTTGAGCCAAATTCGCGTTTTTGTAGTGTTTCTGTGACGTCAGTTTGCATAATTGTACTTTCATAACTTAGAAGAACGCTACTACACAAGTGAGGAGATTATATACAATGCTAACAGACTGAATTCATTTGCGGTGAATTCAGCTCAAACCATTTATACGAATGCAATATAATACTTATAGTATACTCAGGAATAAAKTTAGAATATGATAATTTATGATTTAGAATATATCAGTCGTCATATAGTGAGTTTTAACCAAGGACGTCGTTCTCTATGGCCGAATTCAATTATTGGCCAGATTTTWATTTTTGATTACTACCTTCTCAAGACCGAGAAATACTGACGAGATACAAAACTTGTATCATGCGCACTGGCAACTCGTAACAAAAAACAGACCATGAAAACTGATGAGAAGTACTGACGCTAGACTTGAACCGGCGACAATGTTGCTAGCCAAGTTGAGTTTTTTTGCATCTCATATTTCCCACCTTTCCTTATATTGACTTTGCTGCGGTACATGTGAATTTCGGCGCCTGCGGCGGGACTTTGCCTGCAGATGACAATCTTACTACTTGTATAAATAAAAATTACTAACTGACCCGAACTGTCTTTGATTTGTCGCATTTCCCCGCGGTTTAATTGAATATCATATGAAAAGCATGCAATAATAGTTTAGCTCTAGCTACCCAAATAATAGACTATTCACCCCTGGCCACGCCCAACAAATTCTGCTCRTGTTTCGTCCTATCTATACTCCATGAAGGACACGGCAATCATGCCTTTGCCAAATTTCCTTTTCTTTCTTCTATTATATAAATATTTTCTTTAACCTTAATTGTCGAGAAGTTTATTTAGCAATTTTCTATGATAAGATAAGAGACGGTTGATTGTGGTTTTATCAGAGAATTGTGATCACGGCGATCAGTTTTAATTGCGTGTGATTTTTTTGCATTTTTATCTCAAAGCGTTAAATAACTATGTCAACAAGACATACTCCAAAGTATAATTATCTTGTCTGAGAGAGGTCACGAGCTCTTTCTACATTAAGATCAAGCATTCAACTAATGACTTCAGCCTTTGTATATTTGCCGCTATGTTCCACTGTTAACCAAGAACTGTCTGATCTTATCCAAAGTKTATTTAGGTTTTATATTTTTACTGATATTATTGACAATGTATGATTTTCGTGAAAGTATCTTGCGGYCTTTCGATATTGTGTGGTTGTCTCTCTATAAGGACCTCATTTCTGGTCAAGAATGGGTGTAGCTCTTTCAGAGAGGCGCGCGTGCTTGACATGCCACCGGAAAAATCGCGCGCTTTTAAGGTTGTAAATTTGATGTAAATATGATGTAAGTGTCCAAAATGATTTAAATTTGATGTAAATCATGCAACAGTACAGAATGCATTCTGCGCGGGAAAAAAGGTGATTTATTGATTTTATAATAAAGTTAAGTAAAGCATTCAAAAGTAATGTATATCGCTGGGACCACTTTTGATTTACATTCTTATTTGAACAGTAGTGGTCTATATTATCAAAAGCCACAAGACAGTTACGTATTTACCATTGGTAATGAGTGCTCCATTTTCCCATTTTGCCATTTGATATGGTGAGACTAAATTAAAAGCTGAATAACACTCTGAATCTATTTTTTTCTTTCTTTCTTCTTTTTTACAACAAATATTAAAGGAACTCGATATGCTTTCTGCTGCTAAAACAATGTTTAGCGCAAGCACTCGCTTTCTTATTCGCACTACATTTCGCGCTTATTCGCATAGCCCCATAACTGGATTAAGGCGATTGCTAACTTCTCCGCTGCGGTTTACATTGCAGTCTGTTARCCACAGCAATTCTATAATGAGTTGTAAAATGCGTGCATTCTTCCTAAGCTGCAAGCTTCAAAATCCTCAGAGCCTGCAGCCATCGACAATGTTTTACCACTGGACTTTGACCACTTCTTACCTGACATGGACCAACGGCGCGTTTGGCTATATATGTTCTTCTAAACCTAGAAAAGAATCTTCACCTACCTTATATAGATAAGGATAAACGGTAAAGTAGTGAGATGAACCGCTTTCTCTCTCCGCGCCAAATTCTTGAAGACCACGATGCAAACGCTGACCACTGACTTGTTGTGTGTCCAAATGGGTTTGTGTATATCAGGTTTCATTATCTCGGACGATGTTTTAATGATAGTTTCTGCAGCATGTCGCAAATCTAATACTTACTAATTACAAAGGGGCCAGGAGGGTATCTCAAAAAAAGGTATTCCTTTCAGAAGTGGATGAATGGCTTTTCTGTGCATATGTTCTCTCGGAGGCGCAGGTTAGACAAGTTTTAGTGATAAAAGTCCGTGCGCTATGTTCACTCATGTCTTCCAAAGCTTTTAGTTGGGGTAAGGGTTTTTGGATTTACTGTGAAGGCATTATAGTCATTGTACGCTGTGCAATATCACTTTTAAACTCAGTTGTCATCAACATCGCAGACCACTACACCACCCTCTTTCTCAAAGATAAAAATCTCAACAAGTAGATTATGAAAAGGCTTCATTCTATCAGCAGTGTTTTCAATGAAAAAGGAGACAAATTCAAGTCACAGTCTCCGCCAGTGCGAACCCGAGTGTCAAAGAACTGAGTTCCTGGCATTAAAAAAAGTGTTGTTCGTCTGGCAGTGACAATCGTACTTTAATTGGAAGCAAGTACGAATAGTGAATATCTCGGTTTTCAAAGCTTTGAATCGTTGTTGGTGGAAAACTTCCAGATATGACAGCGAAAATCGACCATAGAAACACAATGGATCTCGCATGAAGGACATGCAAAAGACGCAAAATGCTTCAAGGAAGACGTGGTATTAAGGCGAGTGTTGAAGTAAGTGTGATGAAAATAGACTTATGATTGTTAATCTATTCTAAAAATCATGAATTTTAAAACTGACAACTTCAAGCTGGAGATATCTTCCCCGTGCCTCCCCTCCCGTACTACAAATAACTGTGACGCAACAGATTTCTTCTTGGAATCGAGGCCGACACAACAYTATTCCTCGACTCCATTTTGAATCCAATTCTCGAATCTTGCGGATAGAATTTCGATTACAATTCGTTGAAGGTATCCACTTTTCCTCTTCTTGGGGCTTTCCTGAAAGCCTAAGATGGCTAGCAACCAACGTTACATCGCGGTAAGTTGATATTATGGCAGTAAAATGAGCTGAATGACAMGTAAACAGCCTCAAAAGCAAGCCTTACCCGATTTGGATGATTGGATTGATGGTTTCTCTGCCATTTTGTCAAGATTATTTATTTACAGCAGTTATTATTTCATATATTTGTGTATTTGTACATTATTACATTTAAGCTTCGTTATTTGTAAAGTTTCGATGAATAACGAGGGATATTTCAAGGCCATTTGCCTTCTGCAAAATATCATCATCTCGCTGTGCCATTTATAATTGGCCGTTSTTTGGCTCGCCTGAAGTACAAGTCTTTGATTATTTTTATTGGTGATGTGATTGTTTKAGACGTTTTTAAGGTTATAATCTGTCAGTAAAGGATGGAGATRAAAAATATCATGTTTATTTACATTTTTTTACGAGTATCATACCCATATGAAATCTAACAACCGGCCAAGAGTAATCTATTCGACTTTAAACCCAAGTACAAATATCATTCCAATCTCACCTATAAAGATGCCATAGATTCAGTTAATCCCGTTAGAGTGTAAACACTAAAAGCGTGAAATATTACTAACCAAATAGTGTTAAATCATTGCTCATTCTGAAAGTTAATGACATAACATGGTCAAGCCTTAAAATTAATCACAATATATGATTTGTATGTGCAATAGAGTGTATGTTTATATTGTCATGTAATTAYACATACTGTAGTCTTCTTGGACACTAAAATCACTGTGAGGAGAATAGTAATGTTAAACTTATATTTTTTAACTTGTCCCATGCTCCTTACACTTTTTATATGTGTTTAAATTTTGTCTAAAAGTTTTTCTGACCACGAACATGTTTCATGTGTAAGTCATGTGTTTTTTCTCACTGAATATATTTATTTATATATATTTTTTCATTGATTTAAATGTAMTTGCTTGTCACGTTAATTTAGTCAATCCAGTCACTGTGCAACTAAACAGCAAATTTAAAGGSCTAATTGGTATTCTGGTGATCAGAATTTTTTTTCAAATGACTATATTAAAGCATAGAATTTAGTTCAGTTCAGAGTTGCATTGGACTAGTTGGTCAAAGTCAAGGCTCAATTCTGATATAGAATAGACAAATCACCTTGCACTTTCCCAGTTCCCATTTATAAATGGAGAACTCTTGGCTTTAAGTGTAAGAGGCACTAAGAACCTATAGGAGCAAATTTGTGGATTTTAACAATGTTTGCAATAAAGAGCTATTATTACAGTATATATCATTGATAAAACATATTGTCTCTTGACTTTGAGTGTAAGAGGCACTAAGAACCTATAGGAGCAAATTTGTGGATTTTAACAA